ATCTGGCCAAATATTTAAGTGTAATCATGGGTCAGTCGCCCGTGAAAATGTGTGTCCACAGCGGCAGCAGCAGCAGCTTTAAATTATTTTAATAGCCAACGAGAAACTGGCAAAACAAATTGAATATTCTATCAATTTGCTGATGACAAAATAGTGCAAAAGACGACCATCTAAATCCAATCAAAATATATATTATATATGCTGACGAAGTTTGTCTTTTGTGTCGTTTCGGCTTGAAAGTTGTCGCTGGCCAGCAAATTGATTTCTCAGGCAGGCAGCCACATTAAAAATTGACAACCAAACAAATTGTAGCTGACACAACACGTGTATATTCATCAGGGATGTAGCCAGATAAAGGACCGGTATGGCATTATCCCTAGCCGTTGTTAACAAAAATAAAAGCACAAGCAGAGTCTCTTTATTGTCAATATTTTATGAGTCTGAATTAATTTTAAAACATTTCGACAGCTGGCACGCCCCAATCTCTCACTTTTCTTTGCCATTTAACTTTTCTAGTTTGACATATTTTCGCATTCTTCTTCTGCTGCTGCTGCTGGCTGCTGTAAACTTTTTGACAACAGTCTCGTCTTTGGGCCATTTTATTAGTTATGCAAATTAATGTGCGTCCATGCGTGAATGGACGTGTGTGCATATTTAATGTTTTTTTTTCTTTTCATTTGTATTATTCAGTACACTTTGGTTTTATACATGAGCACATTTATTTTCTGTCCATCAAGCGCCTCTTCTTAAATTAGCTTTGTTTTCTATGGCACTTCAGTGTGAAGACTTTAAAGTTTAACCTGTTTAACCAAATTTAAGTATCCATGCATGTACCGAGTGCATTAGGACTGGTTCGGATAATTGGATAAGTTTTGGGACTTAACATAAGTAGCTCACAGGTGGCAGGATATTATCATGCTTTTATAACATGCACCCCAGAATTCTATTAAAATGTTTATTAACAGAGCTAAACTTTAACGATTTAGCGCTTTGTGCATATTTAATAATTTTTAAATATAGCCGACATGGACGAAAGCTCGTCGGGTTACAAGGCACTTCCGCAAACGAATAGCCCAGATAGTTGTTATAAAAATCTCGAGTGATAGATCATTTAGAATTATTTGTGTCGGTTTGAACCTCATTCATTAATTAATTAATACTCATGCTTCACTAATTTTACCTATAAAGAATGAAGCCGTTGGCTTACCCAAAAGCAGAGCAATAACTTGCCCGCTCGAAGCTGTTCCTTGAAATCTTCATTTAATGCACGCTCATTTCCTAAACACATACAACAATTTTATAACAAGCATTAATTTTGGTTAATAACTTTATAAGGGAAACTAATGCATGAGCCGGTCCAGCCAGCACACATCAGCATATCAAACACTTATGCACGCATCCGCTTCAGCATACCCACACAAACACACACACACACACGCACACAGTCATGGATTTAGCATTTTTCACACACAATGTTTGAGGCAACGCCTAAGACCAGGGCCTAGCATAAGACAGTGGGCCCCGAGCCGTTAGGCATAAAATAGAATTGAAATAACCATACGATAAGCTCAATTTGTGCGCAGCTTTAGTGGCGCATTAGCCATACATAAAGCAAAGATAGCCGCCATATAAGCTGACTGTCGGTGTCGGTGTCTGTGTGTGTGTGTGTGTGCGTTGATGTGTGCGTCACTTCCGCTTGTAATTGTAGTTACAATGTCACAATCACTAGACCATATAAACGCAAGCAAACAACACTAGAGCAAGAGGCGAAGATGTCGACAGCACGCACACACACACACACACACACACAGACACGCAAGCTCACACCCGCACACACACACACACACAGATATAGGCGTAAACAACTCACAGCGCGCACGCACACGCACACACATGCGTTTGGCCATGGTCCTGGCGCTGGTCCTGCTTCTGGCTTTTGTGTACGCTTTTAAGTGGCACAGCTCGCCCACTTGGGCGCTTTATTAGCAAAGTGAAACTTAGACAATGCCTGGCAGCCGCCTCAGTCCTCAGCTAAGTTTCGTCCTCGCTGCTCGCACTTGCCACTTTGTAAGTAGCCGTAGCCACATACGCACACACACACACCCATTGACACACACACACACACATAGCAGATAGCAGAGAAGACAAGAGCAACTCTCAGCCACAGCATTGCCTTGGTAATATTTACAAGTCACTTGTTTTTATGCCTACATTAATTATGCGCGCTTTTGCCTTTGGTTTTTGGTAACTTTCGGCTTGTCTTTGATTTTGATGCCGTTGCCACAATTCCTGGCAGGCCTTGGCTTTGGTTACGCTTCGCTCCGCTCTGCTCTGTGGCTCTTATTTCTCTGGTCTTCTTTTTTTGTTTTTGCCAGTTTTTTTCTTGGCTGTCATCGTACTTCCGCTCCACCCCACTTCACTCACACTGGATCTGGTCATATTTTTCTTATTTTAAAGCCCGGGCTTGTGGATTCTTCAATAAATTTTGGCACTCATGTCTGTGGTATGTGTTGGTGGCAACTCTGAAACTTAATTGGATGCCGTTCAAGTTTGTCGCTGCTGCTGCCGCTTCTGCTTTTGTGCAGCCCTCTGTGCCCATAAATGTCAGCCAGGTCGAGCTGCATTAACTGACCCAGTTGAGCCCTATCCATGGCTTTGCCCCCAAAGCTTTTCCCCTTTTACCCACGAGTGCCCTTTAATGGGATTATTGCGCAGTGAAACGTATAATGCGTCAGCCTCGACACTCTCTGCATTTTGCTGCTGCTTTGAGCTGGTGGCAAGTAGTTGCAGTTTTTGTTGCTATGGCCTTGCTATCATGTGCACTTTTTGGCAGACACTGCGTATGCGTAATGTGCGCATCTTAACTGTGCATCTGTCCCATATATAGAGCTTTAGTGCTGCTTAGAGATTCTCTTTGGCAACCACTATCAATTTGTATGTGCATTTAGAGTATTAAATTGTTGTAAAAATCTATATTTATTACACCTCTGCAAATGCTTTTAATATCTTGTTTGGCTCATGTGTAATGCATCTCCAGATCATGTCAAGGTACCTGAATGAAACTAAATCTATGGCAATATTTCTCTGGAGACAGTACTTATATAAAATTAGCTATATACATGTCAGCTGTTACCTACAAATAAAATAGTTATTATATTATAAAATGTAATTCCACGCTGTGCTGCTTAGTTAAGAGCAAAATTTAATCTACGCTAGCGTGCCCGTAGTTAAGTCTTTCTTCAAGTATTTAACATAATTGTGACCAGCCTTAAATTGATTCGTAATAGCCAAGAATTTTTTATTTAATTTTTCCCTCTCTCTTCCTCTCTCTCTATCGCTCTCTTGATGAGTTCCACAAATCACTATTGCAGCTTTTCTTGTCCGCACTTTTCCACGGTTGATTTCACTTTTTGTTCGCCGACTTGACTTTGCGTTTGCATTATCACCGTCATGCGCCATTAGATTTTTTTCAACATTTTCCAGCTGCATTTAAATCGAAGGACATCGAATATATAAGGCTGCAGATTCGATTTAACAATGAATAGGAGCAGATATTAGCATATTTAGCGCTCTGTAATTAACAATGCATAATTTCATTTTTATTAAATTCTTCAGTTTAATGCGATTTTATTTGGTTTCATTTCTTCTTAATGCTTTTTACACTTTGCTTCTTTTAAATTTATTATTAACTTAACTTAGAAAATTAATTTTTAGCTTAATTTGTGTATGCGTTTGTGTATGAGTGTGTTATTTGTGTGTTGTTTAATGTGTTCTCTCTCAATTATTAATTCTCATTGTTGTTGAAATATTTTGTTGCCGTTTATGGAGTTTCATATTTATTTATTTATAATCGTTTCCCATTACCTAACTCTAGCTTAATGTGTTATTTTTATTTATACACCTAAAATAGTTATATAATTATCCGCCTATTTTTAAAAGTTGTTATTTTCGCACATGCCTGCCAGCAAATTCATTGTTGAATATTTGTTTTTCTGTATATATTAGTTGCAGTTTTCTATGCTAACATTTTTCATTTTGTTTTTAATATTTTGTTCTTGTTATCCGGATTTTCAGTTTAATTTTCGGTGCACTTTGCCAACTAACTCACTTGGTGAAATTAAAACTAAATAATTTGCGTATATAGCAACTGTAAGTGTGCGTGTTTGTGTGACTGTGTCTGTGTTAGTGTGTGTGTGTGTGTATGTGTGTGTGTCTGTGAACAAGTTTTACATCTAATGATTTACTATATTTATTTCATTTACAATATTCAATAGTCTGCTTAAATGATTGCTTCTGCATTTTCAACACTATTATGCAGTTTCTTTGAATCTTTCTATTGCTACTCGTTTAAGTTCTTACAACATATGAAATTTGCTTTCCTTTTGCTCAACTTTTCACCTTCATCGTTATTAGTTTCAATCTTGAATTATTATATTTACACAGAATATTTTGAAAATTACATGAAAACTTGTCTCGTAACCAAAATCGAATTTGTAATTAACACCAAAAATATTTTGAAACCTATTAGGATAATTTAAAATATTTTAACTTGTTAATGCACTCCCTTTCGGACAGTATGTTATTGTTTTGGTTCTCCAAATGTTGTTTGAATTAAATAAGAAGAACGAAAGAAATAACTGTTTTCAAAACTATATTATATTTAAACTAATTAAAATAATTCTATGTACAGTTAATGTTTAGAATATTTGAAAATTTCTTAAAAGTTGTTCGCCATTTTCCGCTTGAATCATTCCCTTTGCCATTTTTAACACTTGCTGTAACTATATGAACTTACATTGTTTAAACATTATGTTATTTGTTAAAATTAAGCAGTTTGTTCTTAAATTTGTATTTTATTTTACGGCTACTTATTTACGATATCTACTGCTCTGTTACCCGGAAATACCTGTGTTCTGTGTGGTAAACGCCTTTTCGAATTGATATAAGACTTGTCCAAGAATTTGTTTGTTTTGTGAGAGCTGCCTTAAAGTTGGGCAAAAAAAAAAAACACCTGGGGAAAATGTGTGTCAAAGTCTTTGCTTAGGACAAAAACAAATACAATAAATAATTTAAATACAGCTTGGTGCTGCTGTGGCCCAAATTAAAATTTCATAAACTAGAGCACAATACAAAAGGAAACCCTTAATGCCACTCGCGATTTGGCCGGAACACTTGGCACTTCAGCTACACGGCATCCGCCTTCTGGCTAGGAATCAACAGCACCGTGTAGGCCACTTGAGCCCATTCCCAGATCGGTCCAGGTTTGAAATCCTTTGTGTCACCGAGCAGGTGTCGTCATGGCAACAACACACGAGACACTTGAGTCTGGAGTGCGCAGACGAGTTGCCACTGCATTGGGGCTGCGCCTGGAGTGGGTTTGGGTGGTTGTAGCATGTGACATGTGGGCACAGGCAAGTCAATTGTCAGCCAACAACGTCGCCAAAAGCAACTCAATCGGCAAGCAAACAAACCCACAACAAACTCACACAAACACACACACGCAACACAACACAACAATAGTAGGCATAGGCCTGGCATTTCTTTTGCTTTGCTGCTTTCTTTTAAAAAATAAAATTTTGCGCGGCCCTTTTTTATGGCTTGAGAGCCCGGGCAAGACGCTGAAAAGTTTATATTAAATGAAAAACTTTTTCAATTACATCAACGGAAATAAAATGCTGCCAGCTTGCCACTCGAGGCACGCATAGCCATGGCTGGACGGCCGAGCGGCGCGGTGCAGAAGCAGGAGTCTGTCCTAACAACAACAACAAACACAACAATAACAACTGCCAAAGCTGAAGTCAGAGCCGGGGCTAGAGTCGGGACTAGAGCCGGTGCCGGAGCCTGAGTCGGAGCCTTTTGTTTAGCGTCGCGTCTTTGTTTTTCGGCTTTATTAGGTTAGGTCGCCTCTGCCCTTTTGTTATACCCTTGCAGCGGGGACAAGCAACTTGCGTAAAAAGTTTGCCAACAAAAATATTAACCATGGGGTCACAAAATATACAATACCATTAACTTTCCCTTTCAATTTCTTTCTATAGAGCATTGAACTTTCTAATCAAATGGATTACTAATTGAACCCTGATCAATTCCTAGACAAAATAAATTATTTTGACTATTGAAATATTTTTTAAAATATACTTTAAAGTCAAATAGGGAAAAAATACTTTTCAGGCAAACAGCAGCAAAAAACTTCTGCCAATTCTGTATACTCTATTCTAAGGGCACATTCTGCCAGGTTTATCAAACTGTTTGTCAATTCGGAAAACTCTATTATTAGAGATTCATTATGTAAGGGCATATTTAATGCGGTTCATGTCAATTCAGAATACTCCATTATAAGGAAATATTCTGCAAGTTAATATTTAATTCGGCTCACCAAACTTTTTGTCAATTCGGAATACTCTATTATTAATGTTCATTCTGCAAGGGCATATTTAATTCGGTTCGCTAAATTTATTTTTGTTTTCTTCTGCTGTTGGACTTAGTTTCAGGTTGGGTTAAGTTTTCGTCTTTTGTTTGACTCGGCGACTGTTGTTTCATCAGCTTGTTTGTCGTGGGCTAACTGCAACAAAGGATACGGATACGGACACAAACTAAATCTATTTAAGTACGCGCATGTCTGTGTGCGTGTCATCAGCGCGCGGCTATTTACAGAGCCACTGAGTCGTCTAAGGCAGCATCCTGGCCGGCAGCAGGTCCACGTTGTCAAATGTCGCTCGTTTCCTGCGCATCACCCACGTAGCCCTCATCCGGACTGTCCGCCAGCGGTCCGTTCAGCTGCTTCAGCTTAGATGTATCCGACGACTCCGTGCTGTTGCTGTTGCTATTGCTGCGGCCAGCACACTCCGCCTCGGCCATGGCCGCATTCGAGCCACTGGGCGATGTTTCGCTCTCATCCAGTTCCGGTATGGTGGCGCTGCCGTTGACCGCATTGCTCTCCAGCGTGGGTGCGGGCGTCGCAGCTGCTCCTGCTGCTGTCAGCGCTGGCGAGGGCGATGGGCTGTGGCCGTAGCGCAATGGCTGTGCATGATAGCCGGGCAGGCAGCTCGGCCACTGCTGGAAGGCTGGCAACGGCAGATCGCTGCTCTTGTAGCCCTCTGGTGGCGAGGGAAATTGCTGCTGCAGCTGCAACTGTTGCTGTTGCTGCTGCTGCTGCTGCTGCTGCTGGGGATAGCCCTCGGCAGTAAAGCGTACATTCGGTAACTGATATTTCTCGTAGGCAACGGGAGGTGCGCGCTGTACAAACTCCGCCTCCAGGCTGTAGCGCAGGCTGGCATTTTGTGCAGCTGCCGCGGCCGCAAATTGTTGCTGCTGCTGCTGCTGTTGCTTGTGGGCGCGATTATGTGGAAGCGTGCGGTAAAAGTTCTGCTGCGGCTGTTGCTGTTGTTGGTTGTGCGGCGCGGCTGCCACCTGTTGCACCAGGTGCGCGCTGCTGTAGTCGTAGGCGTAGCCATCCTGGCCCAAAAAGCAAACCGGATTCAAATGCACATCCACCTGGTGTGGTGATGTGGCTGCTGCTGCGGACGCAGAGCTCAGCACCGATTTCAGCTGCATGCCACGCGGCAGGGTCGTCATGGCGGCAGCAAAGCGTGAACCCATGCCCAGCATGGCATGCGCATGGGGCGTGGCCGTGGCCAGCTGATAACAGCCCTCATACTGCCCACAGTCGCTGGCTGTCTCATAGTCGGCAGCGCCATCCAGCGAGACGGCCGTCTTCAGCTTGTGCTTGACACTCTCCGCATCGTTGACCAGATCTGGGTTCTTCTCCGGGTAGTTGCGCAGCGACGCAGGTGGCGAGCAGTAGGCGGCAGCCAGGCCGTTGCTCAGCAGCAGCGGGGGCGACCCGGCAGCAGCTGCAGCCGCCGCAGCGTTCATCATGTTCACGTTGAGCTGTAGCTGCTGTTGCTGCTGCTGCTGGTGCTGCTGGTGCTGCTGGTGCTGTTGATGCTGCTGGGCATGGGTATGTGGATGCGTATTGGGCGTGGCGTAGAGCAGTAGATTCTGTTTCATTTGACCGCCAAGAATGAGGCCGCCACCGCTGCCAACGCCAACATTGGCAGAACCGCCGGCAGACCCGTTGCTGGCCTTGGTGGGTGTCAGATTGTCGCTGAGCAGCAGCCCGGCGCCGCCGTTTAAGCTATCGCCATCATTGAGTATGGAGGCGCACTTCATCATGCCGGTATCCTGGCTGTTGCCATTGGTCGAGTCGGTGGCACCAGCAATGCTGGTCACCTGGTCGCATTTCTTGCGCTTGGCCGGCTCCGTGCCGCGCTTGCACTTGACCACAATGGTGCAGAGCAACACGGCGAAGATGATGCCACCACCGGCACTGCTGGCCACAATGTAGTTCATATAGTCGCGCGGAAAGGAGACCTCATTCACCACCGGAGGCTCCTTGATGATCACGCGTAGCGTATAATTGCTGAACGTGGTGCCGGCTATGTTTTGGCCCACGCAAGAGAAGGTGCCATTATCCTCGGCGCCCACATTGTATATGAAGATCTCGCTGCGTTTCTCCTCGGCGCCACTGCCGCCGCTCTCGTCTATATAGTAGAACATGTGCAGATTGTCCAGCAGGCTATCGTTGCTCATTACCTGGCCATTGAATAGCCAGAGCACCTTCGGCTCGGGTATGGCGCGCACCAGGCATGTTATGGACATGTTGCGGCCCTCGCTCACCTCCGTGTAGCTCGACTGCGGACTGACCTCGGGCAGGCAGGCGAGCTGCGTCCGCTGCAAACCCTTGATTACCTGGCCCTTTAAACGCGCCGGCTCCATGCACTTGGGCTCCTCGGCCAGCGGCGTATTGTGACTAACCAGCCAGCCGTATATGTCCAGCAGGCGGCAGTCGCAGTTCCAGCGATTACTATGCAGGCTGATGCCGTGCAGCGATTTGGGTAGTATATGCGCGCCCTGGATGAAGGCAATGCGATTGCCGTCCAGGCGCAGCCACTCCAGATTGTCCATGCCCACAAAGGCCTCATTCTCGATGCGCTCCACCTGACAGTTGGACAGCTCCAGGGTTGTCAGAAAGGACAAATGCCTAAAGGCCGAGGTCTTTAGCTCGCGTATGGGATTGCCGCTGAGTGAGAGGCGCATTAGTGAGCTGTAATCCTGGAACGTTTCGCTGGGCACATGCTGCAGCGCATTCTCGCTCAGATCGAGCTCCACCAGATTGGTCAGTCCGCGAAATGCCTTCTCGTGTATGCGTATCAGCTGATTGCGCGACAAATAGATCTTCTGCAGATTGAGCAGATCCATGCGCAGGAAACGCTCGCTCTGCAATACTTGAAGTCCGTTGCCGGTAAAATTGAGCACCTGTGTGCCCGGATCCATGCCCTCCGGCAGGCTTGACAGCTGCTGTCCGCCGCACTCAACCGTCTGCTTGCCGCCCTTCCATTTGCAAACACAAACATCCGGCGGGCAGGCAAGGATGCACTGCAGCAGCAGAAGCTGCAGCAGCAGTGGGAGTTGTAATTGCAATAGGCGTGGCATTGTGTTACACCGTTTTGTCTATTGGCTTTGTCTAAGCTTTATGAGTTTTTTGTTATTTTTTTTTGTCTTGGCTTTCCTATTTTTAGAAGGTTGTGCGACACTTGGTCACGTTTGCATGTCAAATTAGTAAATGAAGGTGACGTTTTTAGAGTTCCTCTTCCGCGTCACGCAAATATCATTAGCGACATCTAAGCGCAGTCGTTGTAATATAACGTTGATCTCAGCTTCTCGGCTACTCGGTTTGGCTGTCGTCTCGACTTGGCAACGAATCACGTTGCCTACTCGAGTGTCAGGCAATAAAAGCGCTTCCCGCTAGCCCGTTGCTGGGCCGCCATTATTATCAGAGTGCGAGTGCTCATCATTGTGTCCACGTCGCTGCTGTCATTGCTGATGTGGCGCCCCTTTTTGCCGCAACTGTTCTCAGTGCCACACCCGCTGTCGCTGCTGTGTCTGCGTCTTTTGTATTAATTTCATAAAAATGCCAGTCGCTTGATTTTTGCTTGGCAGGGCCTGTGAGTTGGCAAGGCTTTTGTTACTGTCGCCTCTTGGGTCCTGCGGCTTTGCTTCACTTTTACTCTACTTTAGTCTACTTAAGCGTTCGTCCTTTTCTTCTTAGCCCTTCAACTTTTTTGCCGTTGACTGAAAAGGTTTTTGTCCTTAATGAAATTATAACGCAATTCATTTGTTGGTGTTGTTGTTGCTGATGTTGCCGTTGTCTCTGCTGTCGTCGATCCCTTGCCGCATGCTTCGCATTGTGTATGCGACACGTGTACAGATTTTTGCTGCTGCTGCTGCTTCTGTTGCTGCTTTGCTCGTTATGCGCTGCAAGTAAATTGAAGTAAACAAAATAAACGGTTAGTTACTGCCATCTTAGTCAAGTTTAAATATTTGCTTTAAAATATCTCAATTCAGTATTAAATTATTTATTGGTAACTGAAATTCGCACTCTAGGGAAGTAAACATATTAAAGACAGCTCTATATAAAGAGAGAGAGAGAGCGAGTACCAGGGTAATAAACCCTTATGGGGAACCAGCTTTGTAGAAAAAATCCCCCTTTATTCTTCATAAATTACTGTTCTATATCTTAAAATATTTATGTTTTTAAAGTATTTTAATGTTTACATCTAGTTAAATAATAAATTATAAATCTAATTTGTATATTTTTAAATGTAAACCGTCCATAAGGACCCAAAACATTGTTCTTTTAATTTTGGATAGTGAAATATTATTCTAATATTTATATTTTCAATGTTTTTTTTTTTTAATTTGATGAAACATGCGTAGCTTATTTTTGTCAGTAAAGAAGTTAAATATTTAATAACAAAATATAATAATAACTTTTCATCTGTTTGTAATGCTCGTAAACAAATAAAAATTATAATTTTAATTTAAAATATCTCCTTTCATCAACATACTTCTCCTTTTTTGCTTATTCCTGTACATCCGGCTGCACGTAAAAAGCTTCGTTATTTTTGTTTGAATTTCAATGCAATACTCAATATAATTCTGTCTATAGCTTCCTTTATTTTTGCCGATATTCGGATAATTACAATTTTAACATTTTATCGCGGTATGATATGTACAAATGAACGTGTGTGCGCACTTGTATTTATGTACTTTATTTCAGGTGATTTATTTTTAATAACTTTTCCAGGCAGTTGGCAAATATGTCATCGCCCGCACTTGATTATTAATGTACTTTCATTTGGCCCACTCGGAGTGCGTATGTTTATGCATAATGAATCCGGGGGATTGATTTCAACTTGAAAGTAAAATGAAAAACACGGGCAGGATAAATTATTTCATATCCTATCGCCAATATGCAAACACGAGCAAATGAAAATGAAATCGCACAGCTGTAAAAACCAATCCCATGCAATTTGTTGCCTTTAATTGCATTTCGTGTTTTGTTAATGCTGAAGGGAAAGAAATACACATCGCCATAGGCGCGTGTGTGTGTTTGCGTGGGGTTTATTATTTCTCGTTGTGCTGATTACCTGCTCATTATGACCCTTATACCATTTGATATATGTATAGCGAGGGCACAGCTGTAGGCTGGCCATTAAATTAGCCTGGCCCTTGGCAGCAGCAGCAGCAGCAGCAGCAACAATCTGACATTTATATTTGTCCAAATTAATCAGAGGACATTAAAATGCGAAAAGACAAAGGAAATGACAGGCAAGCAAAGTAAACCAGAATGTAAATAAGCAAAAGCACAGACAATCGAATGAAGATGACAGCTATAAATCATGCAACATATTGCACTAAAGCCACTTTAGGTAAATAACATATAAATTACACTCGAAATTGAGCCAAGTGCAAGTGGCCAATAGCCAGGCAGCCAAGCAGCCAGTCGCCGGCCAAGGAAATCGGTCGAAAAACAAGCTTTTCCAAAGAGACGCAGCAGTTGTGTAATTCGATCCAGCGGGTACACGAGCACAGGCAAAGAATTTCAGCAAGCCAGCCACGCGCTTCATTAGCCACCCACAACGGGCGCTAACTGACTAACAGTCTGACTGACTGACTGACTGACTGTCTGACTGATTGACTGGTTGGGTGGGATGGTAAACTCGTGCCGGCTGGCGCCAATGCAAATGCGTAATGGATACTTGGCTATGCCATCATTTTGTTGGCTAACAAATTGACTTGATTTGCTTTTGCCATGGCAGCGGCACCGACTTTCACCTGAACTCCGTTTTTTCGACATTATTAATAACTAGGCATTCATCTTGGCCATGTCGTTGCCAATGCCGCAGCTGGCTTGGCCTTTTAGCCAAATGTTTAGCGCTTAGCTTGTAATTGTAGCTGTGATTCTCTCTTTCTCTAAACAGGTAAACGTGGTCAGGTTTATTTATCGCAGCGAAGCTGTTGAAAAATTCATGAACTGTATAATTAATGAGAGATTATTGTATATCACGGTTTCTCGTATCTAATGTTAATTACCAGAAACCACTTCGAAACAATTGTAATCGGCAAATCGTTTATAAAATCACGCAAAACAGTTTATAAACAAATAACCTGTTATGCAAACAAGGCCAAATAATATTTTTAAAGCTCATAAATAATTGAAAAGATTCAAATATATATTGATTTTATTATTATTTTAATAGTTTTTATTTTGGTAATGCGCTCTGCTCAATAAAATGCGTTTATTATTTATTCTGAATTTGCATCCCTCGCAAAGGAGATTTAGTTTGCTTTAGAATACGATTTAAAATATGTATAAATTAAAAGATTTATCAAAATATTAAAAAAAAAACTACTATATTGGCCATCCATGGTTGATTTTAAATTAATTTTCACAAACGCATTTAAACGGGCACCCTTTAAATATGCATGAATTCGTATTTGGAAATTTGTTGGGAAAAGAAAAGAAATATCAATTCGCAAATAGACAAAAAATATTTTGTGCTTTTGTAGATGTTGTTGTGCAACACACTGAGGACATTTGTGAATTGCTGAAAGAAATTCTAATTTAATTTATGCTCGTACAAATACAAGACATTTCTCATTTGGATGCCTTGGCAGCAGTTTTGTACACATTTTTGACATTTTCATTTGTCAGTTATGAAGCAGACACACAGGACTCAGGACATTGGACACGGAAGTGTGCGTGGCTGGATGTGTGCGTGCTTGTGTCCTTGTGTGCTCGTGTGTTATATCCTTATCACAAAATGATTTGACAGTCGAGAGCAACCGCCAGTTGAACTGTGTGCGTGTGTATGTGAATCTTAAAAATTGCATGTATTTCATGTTATTTAATAGAACCGAATGAGACGGATGCTGAGTAAAACCAGCGGCAAATCGGTTGTATTTGTACCTTTTGTACCTTTTAGATCGCCAGCAAGTGGAACTTTTCCAGCTGCCTCTCTTATAACATCTATTTCATTTTATTTTATTTTATTTTGTTTCATTGATCCCATGACCCGTGTCTGTGCTGTGCATTGGCACGTCTTTTAAACTGCTGTCATTGAAAATAATTTCAATTTCATTTGAGCTCTGGAAATCAATAGACGTTCGCAGCCAATAGGCATTTCACAAAAGACATAAGCAAATGTTTGATTTTTATTTTCTTTTGTGCTGCATTCCCTTTCCCATTTCTTATTGGGCGTTAATAGTCGTCGCATTTTGTTATACGCGGCGTATGCTTAATGCAAGAAGAGTGAGTGTGAGTGTTAAAAAGGCGAAAAGAGTCGATTGGGCTTTGGCTGCAGAAGGAACAGCGACACGTGGCCCGCTTTTGACGGGACTGGTTCTGCCTGTACTTAATTTATTTTTTATTTGCGAGCTGCAAGCGAAGCCGTCGTCGACGACTTCAAGCTAAGCACTTTATTTGGCGCCGTTGTAATTTCGGTGGAGCAGCGGTTAAGTAATGCCGAGTTCTTGTGGCTTTTATAGATTTCCGTCTAAAGTGCCTGCTAATACGCTTAAACTTAATTAAAAACTTATCAACAGCTGCGGCAAACAATTTGGCTGCCGTATCCAGCCGTTGCCCTTGGCAACCTAACCAACAGGAAGCCGCATTTTACAGCGACAACTTGCAAGGACCCCAGCCAGAAGTGTGGCGGCTTTTCAGCCCCAAAGACGCAAGGAAAACTACGTTCCACTCTTTTTATTACCGCTTAACGAGAACTAAACCTATGTAAGGTTCGCCTTTGGACGTAAATGATATTTAAAGTGCATACTGAAGCAATTAATAAATCCCGTTGATTAAATACATATACATTTGTTTCTTTATATTTCTTAGTTTAATAATTAATTCAAATTTGACCGATAGTACAGTTAATAAAAAAGGGATATGTTACTGCTTGCAGCCGGATCTAAGCTTGGTAAAACAATCTTTTTGACGAATAGCTGTCTGGATTGGTGTTGGCCAAGTAATTAAAAATAAATAAATGTTTGCTATTATTATTATTTATTACACTGTGCGACGAAAGCAGTTCTATATCGCCGTGTTGCAAGTACTGCAGCAGTGGCAACTTCAAAGTGGCGTTGCAAACATGTCATAACATGTGAAAATTAAAATGTACATGACAACTTAAGCGGCGTTCTGGCGCAGGCATTCGCAAGGTACCACCTCACCCCACTTGCACGGCACAGCGAAGAGCACTTAATTTGGCATGTTGCCTACTGTGCTGGCCCTGGCCAAGGTAGCGTGACAGCGAAGCAACAACAACAACAACAACAACAACAACGACAACTGTTAGAGCAACACAAGCAGGCACAGGTGCAGCCACAGTGGCGGCAGGACAACTGGCAGGACAACCACAGCGACGAGTGCCATTCTGTAGCGTGCATAAATTTTTTACTACCTTAAAAAAAAAAGGCACAGCGATGGCCATAAAACTTCTACTCGCCAAGTCTGCCACGAACTGGCTGTGCAGCCAACTAACAGCGACAACAAAAAAATAAAAGAACATTGCAAAAGGGCGCGGCGGCAAATAAAATTACGCATGCAATGGCAAAATAATAAAATATGCATAAAAAATAAGCTGCAGCAAAATCTGGCCCAAAAGCAAAAAATAAAAAAATAATCTGCCAAAAAAAGTAATGTAAAATAAAATTGAATTACAGTAGACAGCGTGATGCCCTGTATGAAATGCCGCGAATATTTTGTACTGTGTTAAGTACGTGAAGGTGAGATATTTTATATATGTGGTAAATGTTAACAACTTTATCATAGCAAAAATTGTATAGTGTGTAGCTTGTTTAAAGAGAAAATGGCAAAAGAAGTTACCTAGTTAAGTGAGTTAAAGCTTAAAGTTAAATTTGAACATGAGAATATGAACTGACTAAAGCGAGAGACATATTTTTGCAA